TTTGTGTATGATGAAATGAGGCAGAAACGCATCCTACTATAAGAGCCGGCAAGCCGCTCTCCCAAGACGTTTAATGGGCTCCTGGCAATTAAAATGTTTCTTTGGTCAAAGTTCTGTCGCGGTTGGTGCTTACCTACTGGCCTGCTGTTCTCCCAGCGAGGGTAAAGTGGTCCAAATTGTGTATATTGTTTTGTGTACAATGCCACAGTGCTATAGAAGGCAGCACCCTACTTGGTAATGACAGGATGTGTTCCCAGAGTGCCTTCGGTAATGTAGAGAGGTAAAGTAATTTAATTTAGGTGTTGATCAAGAATGTTGTTTTCTCAGCGGTAGACAGAAGGGAAAAAAAAGATGACATTTTGTTATTTGAGGTTTACACAGTTATTTTTTTTTTTTTTTTTTTGTACCCAAATCAAAATTGACATAATGAAACCTTTTCCGACCTGCCGGATTTTCATTTGCCTTGTGTTGTGCAGAACGCAGATGTGAGCTTTATTTTAGTCGCGGTTTATCTTGTACCTACGTATGGCTTATGCTGAATGTTTTTCTGCAGGTAAATAATATATTAAAAAAATATAATTTTAAAAATAATAATGTATTCTTAATGCCTTCCCGACCAGCGGCTGCCAAGTATATATAAATTTTCTGTGCTGGAAGAGAACTCCCAGTACTGTGACAGAGTTGTCACCAACAGCTCCCGGTCACTGTTTATGGGAGCCGGTTGTGATTGCCAGTCACATGATTGGAAGCCCGATCCCGGCTCCCATCGGTCAGTAACTTTTAGAGTGGAATTTTCAGCTACATAAGCAGTACATAGCTGAAATATATTTATATAAAAGTGAACCTGTATTTTACCCTTGATGGGCAAAGTAACAGGTTTGCTTTATAGGAGGTACAATAAATAGTCGGTACTTGCCTTCCCTTTTAATGGCACCATCGCTCTGACCTGTCTCCTGAGAATATTGAAATACCCAATAATTCTGGGTAATTGGGCAACACTTGACACTTCCCTTAACTCCCTATAATGCAGCACTTGGTGTCTCAAGTGACCAATTGGCAACTCTAGTGATGTCATGTGGGAGCTGGGGGAGCATGTATAACCCCATGTACAATTACACATGAGCTCTTGTAATATCTATCTGCCTTGGCAAATTTCATGGTACTTGTTGTATATGCTCTGTGAGCTGTGGTGCCATGAATGGGCTCTTAAAGTAAACCTTTACATAGAGTAATCTAAAGGCCGCCATTCATCTGAAAATTCTAGTTGCCTGGCTGTTACTCTGACCCTCTGGGTTTACTTTTTTTCAAATTGCTGATCTGGAACAAGTAAGCAGATCAGGAAAATAGCTGACAGTGTGTGTCATTATTTTGCCTGGAGTGATGGGAAATATATATATATATTCAGAAACAGAAAATGTTTTAGTTAGATTTTTTTTTTTTCTGGCACATTAGTCATCTAAACATAGATGTCACAGGCTTATCGAAAGTTACTAAGATTTCTTGCTGCACTCCTTACTGTATAAGATGCCCTGCAATATGCAGGTGGGTGCTAGTAGTGACCACAGATGTTAACCATGGTGTGTGTTGTCATGTTGAGCCTGATGAAGACCCTGCGTGGCCCCGAAAGGCCTTGCACTTGACCCTGTGACCCTGTCACTGGAGGGTGCGAACTGCTGATAATATGAAGTGCAGGTATCTGCATTATATGGCCTGCAGCAAGGATAGAGGGATATGAGCCCAGGGAATGTGTTGGAGAACTTTAGCATTATTAGGGAAACCTGTATATTCTTCCTCTACAAGTCAGTCACAGTCATACAAAAAAGTAAAGTATAGTCTTGTAGCTGCTGATCAGCATTCATTTTTCCTTATGTCTTCTTTTATAAAATGATAAATTGGTACGAAGGTATCTGTAGAACTCCTCAGTGACTTGAAGTGTCAGAATCTGAAATGCAGCAGATTATTATGTTCTGCTCATTCATGTTTTTGGACTTCGGAGCATGAAAGGTAGCAGCGGGTTTGTGTTATCCGTAAGCTGTGTTCCTTATACAATGTATTCCATGGAATCTTTGTAAAGCCCTGTTTTTTCTGATAACATTTGCAGAATCTTTATGTATGTTTCCACGGCACCATAGGGATTACTAGGTAAAATCATTCTAGCTGTGTAGTTTTGCCTTTCTCTGGAGAATACCAATGCAGAGAACGAATGATGCCACCCAAAGAAAGTTTGTACACTTTGTCTAGATTGGAAACAACAACTGTTTTCTTGCTTGTGGTACCCACACATCTAGGGCTGCAACCAACTAATCCATTAATCGATAATCATAAATGAGAACAGTTGTCAACTATTCTCATTATCGATTAGTTGGTTGGATCCCCTAGCTCTCTCCTCAATGCTGGGAGGAGGGCACAGCAAGCAGAGGGCGGGTGCAATAGCCAGCCTGCTATTGGCTATTGCAATTTGAAATGGCCCATAGCAGGCTGGCTATTTGCACCAGCCCACTACCTGCTGTATTTACATTCAGCTGTCTGTGGAATCTTGCCACTGGCAGCTGTCATTCCCCGTCTGAAGCTATTCAAGCGCCATGTACTTACAATACAAATTTTTTTTAAAATTATAAAAAGATGGGAAAAACATTTTCGGTTTGCTGCGGAAGGTGCACTGCAGTGCCATTAATTTCAGTGGCACCCCAAATGCACCTCCCACCCAGTGTAACCGCACAGTACCGTGTGTTGCAGTGCAGCGCGATTGCAAAAAAGTGTGCTTGCAGTTTTTTATTCTGAAGTAAACTTCTTTTTTTGTAAAACTGCATTTGTGTATTTTATTTTAAATTAAGGCTGATCTTTAATTTATTTATTTTTATCCAATTATTCGAAAAAATTATCGGCCAACTAATCGATTTTATGAAACCAAACAAAGGTGGCAGTTGATATTTTTATTTTGCATTACATTAACAGAGTTGTTTATCAAACCCAAATATGCAGTACTAAATACACAAGTTAATGTTAGTGTACATAAATACATTACCCAGTTTTTTAGAAAAATATAAAAGATGAAGTTGCACCAAGCAAATGGATTCCAAACATGTCAACATTCATACATTCATAATTGTGTGCTCCCGTGTTACAGTGAAAAACGACTGTACACAAAATTGTCCATAAATGACACTTTAAAGCTTTTACAGGCCATCAGTTAACCGTGAATAATAGCCCTAGAATTATTGCTCACACTCCTGTATGTGCAGCGATACCTAACATTTGGTGCAATTATCATTTTCATACTGAGGGGCACCCAACACGTGTTTGCGTTAATATATGTGTGTATGGGGGGCACTGTTGAAATTTTTTGCGCTGTTTTTACATTTATTTTATGTAACTTTATTTTTTAAAACACTTTTCTTTTAACTTCACTTTATTGCTATCACATTGGAGGTTTGCAAGTCCCCCCCTTTATGACAAATTTTCTTAAAGGAGAAATTAGGGGTCTCCTTAATAATTCTATTAGACCCCTAATGTCACCTTTTGCAGCACGTTGAAACTGGAAGTGACAAAAATAATCAGTGCTTATGAGTTAATTCAGGGATAGGAGATTGCTTGTCTCTCTCTCTCTCCCTCTTCCAAGACCTGCATTTCAAAGACCTGTCCCCTCTATTCCTGTAGTGAGAGTTAAGGGTTAAAATCAGACTCCGACGTTTATTACAGTTTGTGTCTCCTATGTGTATTCTCACTCTCTATTTGTCTTGGTAACCATTGTCTCGAGAACAGAAAGTGATGGTTGTCAGTAGATGAAGTAGTAAGGGAAAAGCTTCCAATGGGGACACCTGTTCCTGTGACATGTGGAATTTTCCCTCGCTTTGGATAGATTTCTTCTCACTACGTGTTCTGTCTTTAAGGAGCAAATAAAAGGAAATCCCCCAATGTGAAAAACCCCCCCCCCCCCCCACCGAAAAAAAATACAAATACATTTAACCCTTTTCAACTCTAGATACTAGGTTTTTCGGTTTACCTATATTTTAATCTGTTACGGTACTCGCCAATACCGATTACCGGAAGTCCCATTATGGAAGCCGGGCGACGAGTCATTACATGGTTCCTGATTAGCCGTGAAGCCATCTCGTCACCAAGTGAAGCATGGAGCCGGCTTTCTGGCCAATCTGGAAGCGGTGGTGCGGGTAATGACTCGCCGCCCGGCTTCCTGAATGGCGGGGAACCGGCTCCATGCCTTCTGGTGACGAGGGAGCATGAAGCCAGCTTCCCGGCCAATCAGGAAGCCGGGCAGCGTGTAATGACTCGCCACCCGGGCTTCCTGATACCGGAAGTTTCAGGATAGGCATCGGGTGCATTTGGGGGGGGTACGAGTACTCGCCCAAATACTAGGTCTTGGCACCAATACTAGTATTGGTACCAATACTAGTATCGGTATTGGTGCATCCCTAGTAGCTACTTTTTTTAGTGTCGCCTGGTAAAGTGAGTTCTACTTCATTATCCAGTAAATCCAACATTTTCAAGTCTTTCTCCCTTTTTATTTGAACGTTTGTCAGCATGTGACACCTAAAACGCTGCTGAATAGCCAAGCTTGGTCTGGTGCTATTGTACCGAGGGCCAATATGACCACTCAGGGTGGAGGCAGGGTAATCCTGGACCACTCCACCCAAAGCAAATATGGAGTAGTTCCTTGCAGAGGAACTACAACCCAGTATGTCTTCTTACGCTTTGTTTTGCATTGGGGAAAGGATTAGGACCTTTGTCCGGTTTTGTAATGTTGTCTGTATCTCCATGGGGGAGATCTCTCATCACTTCCTGTTGTGTCGCCAGTATACAAGGTGAGGGAAAGAAGTAAGCATTAAAATGTATTTTCTAAAATGCCCTAATTATTAGTTACATTTAAAGTGGTCTGTTTGCCTTCCTCTGAAGATCAATAAAAATGGTTCCACTAGCCAACTGATGGGTTTTTTTTCTACCGCATCTATATATTTACATATTTTTTTGCTTGGTCATTCTAGCGGACATGTTCTCACATGAAGAAGGGACTCCTGAGCCTGAATGGGTGGCCACAGAGAGGGAGCAGTTCTCTGATTTCCGGGACCTCGACAAAGATGGAAAAATGGACCAAGATGAAATCAGACACTGGATTCTTCCCCAGGATTATGACCATGCCCAGGCTGAGGCCCGACATCTGCTTTATGAGTCTGACATCAACAAGGTAGTTGGAAATGTTGTTTATAAAATGTTTTGTAGTAAGTACATTGCATAGGTTGTGCTCATTATCATGATATGAACAACTGTAATACAGGTACAGATTTTGCCTGCCATGTTAGGCCATGTCAACATTTTGAACCCAAAATAAAAATGTAATATTCCAACAATCCTTTATGAAAGAGCTTTAGCAAAATGAACGGTGAAAAGGAGCTGTGCATAGAGTTTGTATTGTGTCAAATGCAAGGCCTCAGGCGACATCTTTTGTGGGTCACATGGGTGGCATCACTTTCCAGCCAGAGCATACCAGGTTGCTAAGAGCCGGACGGGGAGATGGGTAAGGGCCATACACATCTCCCCGTCCAGCTCTTAGCAACCTGGGGTGCTCTGGCCGGTGTCCCGCACAGCTCCTGGCAACCAGTGACATCAGAGCTGGGTAGGGAGATGATGCAGAGGCCCACCCCTGGGTAACATGTACCAGTAGCACCTCTCTTAGCATGCACTCCCAGCAATAGAAATATGGCTGGAGTTTTAAGATTGTAGAACTGTGCATTAACCAGTTGACATCCGCGGTGTTAAACCCCCTTCCCATCCAGGCCATTTAAAATCTATAGTAAAAAAACCGCTAACCATTTGACATGTCCCGTCTGGTGTGAATATATCAAACGATACTTATCCAGTAGATCAGGTAGATAGATCGTGGAAAGTGCAGTAGTCATGTAAAAAAGTAGTGACCTAAAACAACCAGAACTCTCCCAGTTGATCTATAGTAAAATTAAACCTGGTCTCTTCAGGACAGTTTTCTTTGTATTAGGGATGCACCGATACCGGTTTTTCGGTATAGAGTATGAGTACCGATGTTTTGTTTTATTTTCGGTACTCACGAATACCGAAAGTCCCATTAAGGAAGCCAGGCGGCGTGTAAACACTCGCCACCCAGCTTCCCGATTAGCAGGGAAGCCGTCTCCATGCTCCCTCATCACCAGGTGACGAGGGAGCATGAAGTCGGCTTTCTGGCCAATCAGTAAGCCGGGCAGCGTTTAATGACTCGTTGCCCAGTTTCCTGACACCGAAAGCTCAAGTATCAGGCTAGGCATCGGAGCATTTGGGCGAGTACGAGTCCCCTGCACCGATATCGATACTAGTCTCGGTATTGGTGCATCCCTACTTTGTATATCGTCTCTGCTCTGTAGACTACCTTATTGAACAAGCTTATAATATTGTTCTTTGTTGGTTGCAGGATAAACTACTGACCAAGGAGGAGATATTAAATAATTGGAACATGTTTGTAGGCAGCCAGGCTACAAACTATGGAGAAGACCTTACCAGGAACCATGATGAATTGTGATCAAAAGACTGCACAGCTGTGATATGTTTTTTTTTTCTCCTTTCACTTGACTTCTACTATACCATAGTATTTGCACCACCACAATTAATGCTTTCTTCATTACCTCAAACTGGGGATAATTACCCAGGATGTTAGTGTTCTAAAAAAAGCCTATGAACAGATTTTAATGTGATTATGGAAACTGTCTGTTACATTGTTCTTTTCTTCTTCTTTTTCTCGGTTTTATGTTTACTGTAAGGTTGGCCATAGAGGGGCACATTAGGCGACTGTGTACAAATAATATGACCAACATAAGATTATTAATTTGACCAACGTTGAAATGCAGATGTAGCAATGGGTTTGTACTGCTGCCTTTACAGTCCATGTGGCTATCATAGGCCTGTGGGCAAAAGGGGACAAGTTGTTGAATGCCTACTCCAAGAGGTCGGTCATTGCAAAGAGCAGGTGAACTGACCACTGACAACAGGAGCACGGCTGCACTTCTTCTATCTCAATGTACAAAGCAACAATAGGGAGGTCAACACTCTTAGAGCCATCCACCGACTGTACATACTTTATTATTTCATCAAAACGGTCTTCAACAAGGTCCCTTGTGTTTCAGCTGCACCTGGCCTTAAAGGGTTATTAAACCCTCGCATGTTTTTGCATATATCTATTGCTAGCAAGTGGTAGGTATATGCAAAATGATTTTTTTTTTTGTAACTTTTTCAAAGGGTTAATACTTACCTGTGTCTCTGCCGCGCGCTGCCGTCCGAACATCTGAACATTTCTCGGGTGGCCGCAAAGGATCTTGGGGCGGGCGCATGCGCAGTACAGATATTTGGCCAGGAGACGAGGAGAGACACAAGGTAAGTATATGGAGCAGCCTGCACCCGTACAGACTCCGCGGGACATCAGAGGAGTGAGCGATGGATCGGAGACCCGCACCAGCGCTGGAGGGACAGCTAAAAACTACAGCCAAGAAGATCGGATTAAGAGGCATCATTTAAGGTAAGTCCTTACATTAGCCGCGAAAAAAAGGACTCGTTCGTGCGGGGGGGGGGGGGGGGGGGGGGACTTTTGCCCTTAATGTCACTTTAATGATATCTACATTAGGTGTGGCCAAAACACATTAACAAGGGACTTTATTATATTATCAAAACCAGATACAACAACGTTTGTCCAGTGGCTCCAAGAGGGGTTTTCATATAATTTGGAAGATTGCCTGCCTTGGAGCTTCATATATAGACTAACTTTGTATCCATTTCAAATATGTATAGATGAAAACCATATAGTTCTATCATTTAACTACCTATTGTTGGAATAACGTCTTCCACCCTTTTAAATGTGGGCCAAAAAAAGCACGAGCCCCACCTTTGACAAGTACCACTCACTTTAGGTGGAAGATAAAGTTTTGGTCGAAATGTTCCAACCTGGCCAATTAACTTTATAATATGTTTTTTTTCCTGATATTTACCTCTAATTTGTGGCATATAGCCTACACAGCTATCATATAAAATTGCCAAAATTCCCACATTATATAAATAAACATTTTTCTTGTATGGCCTCCTTAACAAAGTATGTATAATTAATAACGGCAGTCAATAGTTTAGCTTTAATTGTGAACTTTAAACTTGTTTGTTTTTTTTCATCTAAAAAAAGTCTGTACATAAAATCTTTATGAAAGATTAAGAATGTTTTTATTGTATATTGCGGAATAAATTGTTCATAATGATACAGAGGTTTTTCTTTTCTGTATACAGATAAGCAGTTCTGCCTGTTAACATGTCAGTATTTTAATAAATTTTTTTATTTAAAAAAAATAAAGTTTTTTTGATTTGTTGAGTTACTCAGAATTTACCTCACAGAATGTGCTAGCATGTTAGTGCTAAAAAAAAAAAAAGACATTATCTTCTTTTTTCCAATCTTTAGCCGGGTCATGATCCATCCACTTGGATGATCCATGGGTTACGTGTATTCGGATACCTGATTAGGTTGGCTGCTCCCTCCCCTGGACAGAAAGTTTTTAAGGAACAAAGTCCACAAATACAGCGCTCGCTTGGGGGGTTAGTAATGCTGGGCGTGCTAATTTGAGTGAGCGGCTTCTAAGGCATGCGGACCGGGATGTCCGACTTAATTGTAAACCTCATCCATATATTCCATCTTTGTCTTCTTGGTTGAATCGGACCAACCATCGGATCAATCATCCACATCCTGGAAGCAACATTGTCGCACACCACGGGCCATTGTGAACCTTCTCTCCCACTCTATCCCGTCGCATTCATTCACCTCGTGTCCCTATTTGTTTTGCAGCGCTTATTCCTCCAATGTTGGTTTTTTGTTCCCTCCCCTGGACGAAGCCCATTTATTTTTCTTCCCTTCTGTCCTCTCCCCCCTCTAACATTTTGTAGCTCTCTATCTTTTTTTCCTTCATCCACTTTTCCTTCGCCTCTCTGGAGCAGACCTACTCCTTCCTTATTCCCCTCTTCTTTTCTGTCCACTTCTCCGAAGGACTTACTTTCTCTGCGTTCCATCTTAGTTTTCTGTTGCTTCATTTTTGGTAAAAATCGGATAGGAGGAATAGTCACACTTTCTACCACTTGACGGTTTACATGAAACTGGTTCTCTCAACGGGGTTGCTCTTGGAAGAATGCTAAATATTTGTGCCACTACTTTTACTGGTTAAATTGCATACAATTATTTCTATGTTGAGTCACGCCATTATTACACTTTCATGTACCAGTGTATGTCTCTATTCTCCTGTCTTTTTGTAAATAAAGAATAACAAATATTGATATGATTTTGATATAGTATAAATTGTTTTTGTGATATATTTTACATAATTGTTAATGAAAAATGAGTTCATAACTTAAGGAGAAATTAACCCATAGCGAAGACATAAATATGGAATTGAGAAAATGTTCATTGATGCAAACGAAAAGTTGACTTGCTGCACTCCTTACCGGAAGCCTCAATTCAACACGGGGGTGCTTGTAATGACCGCGGATGGCACCACCAGATGATATCCGTAGATGGATGTCACCAGCACACCAATACCCTGTTTCCCCCGAAAATAAGACCTACCCCGAAAATAAGACCTAGTACTATTTCTGGGAATTGCTAAAATATAAGACCTACCCCGAATATAAGACCTAATTGTGACCATTCCCAGGGTCGGTTGTGGCATAAGGAGGAACTTGAAGAGCCGCGGGAGAGAATCAGCGGTGCCAATGAAGTCACGTCAGCGCTACAGGAAGCGAAGGGAGCAGATCCGCATAAGCCGATGCCTCCTCTATAGAGCTGGCTCCTGTCACTGTCACTCGTTTCGCTCATTCTGGCCAGCGATTGGTTACCAAATTGCTCTTGGAAAGGTACGGCACCCCTGATCACCCTATTCTTAACTTTTGAATGATTTAATTTGGATTTGCGTTAACTTTGGATTGTTGTACATAAAAAAAATAAGACCTACCCTGAAAATAAGACCTAGTGTTTTTTTGAGCCAAAAAAAAATATAAGACAGTGTCTTATTCTCGGGGAAACAAGAATATTGCAATCCAAAGTGCTTGTTTATTCAAACCGTTACGTCATCAGAACTAGCGCTTTCAGGGCCGCGCAGGGTCCCCTTAAACAAGCTCAGCAATGACATTGTTAAGCCCGATGAAGGGGACCCTGCGTGGCCTCGAAAGCCCTAGTTCTGATGACAGGACGTTTTGAATAAACAAGCACTTTGGATTGCAATATTTTTGGTGTGCTGGTGACATCCATCTACGAATGTTCATTGATGGACACAGCTGGGATCTTGAATCCATAACTATTAGGTTTATAGCACCACCTTCAGGGGTAGGACACTAGGCACAATAAAAAAAAGTGCAGCCCTTGGCAGTCGCCAAACCTGCCATGTGCTAGAGACAGCTCAAAGAGTGAAGACCTAAGCTCCCTGCTGGGAATCTTACTTCCCTTTCATGAATTCTTTTACTTTTAATTTTTTCTCTGCAAGACATTCAATCAATGGATGAGCTGGGTGACAAGCTGCATAGTATAGATCCTTGTACCCCAGCTCGGCCCACAGGGAGACTTTCTAGCCTCTTTGGATATCAAAAATGCATACATCCAGCACATCTATGCTTACTTTGTTTTCCTATGGGCCCTAGGATTCTAGTTGTGGCGCTGCCATATGGCCTGTCTTGCATACCCTGAAGGGTCGCCTATGTAATAGCCCCTTGTGTTAGCATTGCTACATTTCCAGAATGTTCCTATTGTGGCTTACCTGGATGACCTGTTGAGGGAACCATCAGCAAAGGTTCTGACTAACAAGGTGGGCCGTACAGGACTAAAAAAGGTTCTACGCCTTTAAAAAAACAGCGCTTAACCTGACTCTCTTCTAGTATCTGGTGCTTGTCCTAACTAGACACAGCTCAAGCCCAAGTTTTGGTTCCCCTAGAGGGAACTTCATTGGCCACTTTTCTCAGCCATGTGGAGGAAAACCTGGTTAGTCTAGTCCATCCTTTACTATTTTGTGGCTCAAGACCCAATTTGCCATCTGGAGATTTCAAAGTCAATCCCGTGACACACTGCATGCAGTCAGATGAATGACTGCATCTTCAGCCAATCGGCTCGTGCGTAACAACCGGATGGACTTCGCATCATGACGCACATGTTTTTACGCGCGAGCCGATCGGCTGAAGATGACATTTTTTTTCATCTCGGCACGCTCAGCTATGCGTGCTGGCGTGCCAGAGAGAAAATTACATGACGATGACGCACTGCACGCGAAGGCGGCGTGCCACTGCTTTGCGTGTAGTGTGTCACAGCCTTCAAACCTTAGAAATGAACTTCTCTTTGCTGCCTTGAGTTCTGTTAAATATACCATAGAGACCCTACGTATGTTTAGCTGCGTTTTTCTGCACACCGCACATATTTGGTGTGAACAGAGCACACAGAAATCAATTATGCGGTTGTGTGCAGAAAAACGCAGCTCAAACAGACATGGTGTGAACAAGCCATAAGAGTGTGTTGTTGTATCTGTTCCATAGGTGGAAAAAAAATACCAGCATGTACCTATGCCGAAAGGCCAACTTTTTGGACACCACGCTGTCCAGTCTTCTGGATCCTAAGAGAACCGCACAGCTGGGCAGCTAGTAGGAAGTGTCCATCACCCAGACAGCGATGTGGACACCTGAAAGACGACCCTCCTCTTCTGCAGTGACAAAGACTGTAGTAGCTTCAAATCTGCTTGTAACTTCAAAACAACCTCTGTGTCGTCTTATTTTAAATGTTCTTTCTTTACATTTTTGAGAGTAAAGTTATTTCATTTTTTTTTTAAAAGTAGCTCCCTTTAAATACAGTT